CTGCACCTTTCGGGTCACCTCTGGGACAGCAGCTGTCACGATGGGGCAGATGAGAAGGGCTGCTGGTCTTTACTGCTCGGCAAAGAAATGCATGGGTTGTGCAGATGCGCCGCGTGGCCACGCCCGTCACTGGGGCTTATTTTCAGGGTGGGGCTTCTATTGTGCAAATGCTTAGAAATCCTGCTAGGGCTTATTGTATGGGTAGGGCTTATTTTGGGGGAAACATGGTAGGACCAGTGTGCTGTGCAATGTAACAGTGTATTATCTTAAAATCGCTAAAAGGGCAGTTTAAAAATGTTCTCATAACAAAAATCTTCTGCAAAGGCGAGTACCCCATAAATAAATATATTTGTCAATTAAAAACAAAAAAGAAAACAGTGGTAAGTGTGTAACAGTGCTCATTAACACACAGTGGCCGTGATTTTTGTGATTGTATGCAAATATAGCCAGCTCAGGGTTTAGCCTGTATTTGTGCACATTTTCGGCCAATCTACAGGAAAATGGCCAGGTTGTGGCCTCCCCTGGCTATGGACAGGACAGAACAACGCGACAGGCAGGTGTTTTCTTTCTGCACTGACATAAGCTCCTCCTCTAACAGAGAGGGCTTCAGCGTGTAACTGTTTTCTGACCAAGAGTCACTGTCGTTTTACCAAGGCCTTGGCGCATACCAGGCTGAGAATCACTTGAGCCCAGGAGCTGGAGTCCAGCCTGGGCAACATAGCAAGACCCCTGCCCCCTACCAGGGAGCAGCAGTGGCCTCTCCCTGCCCAGGCTGGACTCCAGCTCCCGGCTCAAGTGACTCTCAGTCCCCCAAGTAGCTGGGACCGCCACTGCATGCCGCCACACCTGCTAAGCTGTTCCGTTTCACTCTTGCTGTGCCGACTCCATCTGTGTAGAATTTGATGCTGTTTTAAACCCGAGGGTGGCGCCATTTCCCCCTTATTTTAGATGGCCACAAGGCTTGTAGGCAGCAGAGCTAAAATTACAAATCGGGTTTTTCCAGTGTCCTTTGCCAATGCATACTGGCAGCTGGTTTAGCTATGATGGCATCTTCAGCCACTCTCTGTGTTAAGTGCCAGGCGTGCCTCCTACGTGCTTTAGCTCCTGACAACCTGGTAGGGAGATGCCATTACTGCTGTTTTACAGATGAAGAAACTGAGGCACAGAACAGTTAAGCAACTTTCCTGAGGTCTCACTGCTCAGAAGTAGCAGGCCTGGGATTTAGATACTGATAGAGGGGTAGCAATATCCATATATGTATGTGTATATATATATTTGAGACTGGGGTCTTGCGATGTTGCCCAGGCTGGACTCCAGCTCCAGGGCTAAAGTGATTCTCAGCCTCCCAAGTAGCTGGGACTACCAGTGCATGCCACCACACCTGGCTAAGTTGTTCTGTTTTATTTATTTATTTATTTATTTATTTTGTTTGTTTGTTTTTTTCAAGAGATGAGGTTTTCACCATGTTGCCCAGGAGGCTGGGGTATGGTGGCTATTCACAGACAGGATCATAATGCACTGCAGCCTCAAACTCCTGGGCTCGAGCCATCCTCCTGTCTCAGTCTCCCAAGAAGCTTGAGCTATAGGTCCGTGCCACTGCTCGAGGCTAGCTCACATTCTTGGCTGGTGTGCTATGGTGGGAAATGACGGGCGTTCAGGCAGCCCAGGGGAGGGCATTTTCCAGACCTGCACTCTTTAGTGTGCACCAGCTACGTGGAGCTATTTAGATATATATAAGTTGAAAGGGGAAAAAAGATCAAGAGGCGGACGAGAAACACCGCCAGACAGAGTGTCTCTGCAGAAAAGACAGATTCTAGCAGAAATTAGAAAAAAGAAGCAAGAAGACGAGCATACAGCGGACGAGGGCCGGAAGGAGGGGTACCTGAGACCCCGGCAGACTCCACAGGAGGAGGTCACAGAGGAGAACTGGAAGCTGAGACCGCCGGAAGCAGCCTGGAGACCAGCGGGGAAGGGTAAGTGTTTGGCCCCTTCCCCCCCCCTGCATTTGGGACTGCGGGTGGGCCCCTCCCCAGGGGTGGAGAGACATGCGGATCACCCAGCCAGAGACGGCCACTGCCAATTGAATCGGTAAGCCAGACCGGCGCGGCACCAGGCCTGCCCAACTCCCTCCGGGCACCTCCGTGGGCACAGACCCGAGAGCCGCACAGCAGGTGCCATATTGTCTCCTTCTCCC